CCCTCTCCCCACCCCCAAACCCTCTCACCCGCGGCAGTCCGGTGCGAGGCCCCCTCCGGAAGGTGAAGGGGATGGATTGGACTCCGCTAGGGAAAGCGGGTGTCTAGAAGTGGTGCTAATGGGAAGAGATTTCTGGTTTCAAAAGAGGATGCTCTGCCACAAAGAGCGGCTCGCGCGCTGGCCTGGGCTCTAGCCGAGGAGAGATCCCGGGAGAACTCCAGAGCTCGGGGGGAGCGCTCCTCGGAGGACCGGGGTCAACATGCCTGTTCGCAGGGGGCATGTGGCACCACAAAACACATTTTTGGGGACCATCATACGGAAATTTGAAGGGCAAAGTAAGTTCATTTGTTCTCTTATCTCTCCCTCGCTTTCTGCTTTGACGGTGCACTTGGCGTTCGCCGCGTTCAGGCTGAGGAGCCGGCAACTCCGGGCTCTTTCAAGTTAACAGGCTGTGAAACCGAGCCAGGAGGTTCGAATGGCAGCGGGAGTGTTCTCCCCCAGATATTAATTCTGATTTACATTTTAGATTATGGTCTCCATTGTAGGAGGCAATTTGATCCTCCTCTCCCACTGCTCCATTATCTGCCTTGCTACTTAATGTCCTACTCTTCTACTATCTTAAAGGGAACGTACTAGTATAACATGGGTTTATATTTTGAGGCTGTTTAATTGTAGACTTTTTGAAAGTCAGGAGTAGAGCAGAGCATACCACTGGAACCAGAAAATGTAAATGGTAGCAGCGATGTAAACGGCTATGCAAACTATATTTTACCTGGGTTAAATTGCTAAGCTGTGGTATGACAGGGATGCTTGCTTGCTTTTAGTTTATAGAAGCTAAACTTTGCATTGAATCAACGCAAATATATCCCAAGAAGGATAATTTGGGAAAAGCAATATCTGATCCGTGCTGGTTCCCAATGCAAACGGTTGATTATTCAAAACAACATTTATGCCCCTTTATCATTTCCTTAAATTTCCGTTACGAAATGTGAAACTTGAAATGTAATAAGTAAATCCCACAACTGAATGCAGATACATTTAACATTCTCCTGTGGACTAACTGTAAGGAATGAATTATTGTTATATAAACATATTAATTTTAAATCCTATGCTTGTTAATTCATATTCCACATTTCCTTAAAACTACATTAGCACACAGTTATGTTATACATTTTGCAGGTATTGGCACTGCATTTAGTGACATGAGGATATAGTACCTTGTGTACAAAATATACTAGTATATCCTGTTCCCATCTTACCTGGAAATAGTAAATACAATTTATGATTGAAACTTAATGAGCCCTTTGTATTGAAATCCCTACTACTGCACACAATTTCAAGGTTCTCCCCAAGTAAAAGTGAAAAGGTGCTAATGTGACATTTACTGTGTATGTGTAATTTTTTTTTATCTCCTAGACAATATATATTATGAAAGGTGAATCTTCAAATTATTAAACTATTAATACAAAATAGTTTTATTGCTAATAGTTTCATGTTTTTTTTTTTTTAACATGATGAGTGTGTAGCATGCCTTAGAGGGATAGAGAAAAGCCAAATCCAAAAAATAATAACTACTTTGAGAAAGTTGTACTCTTAAGGGCCAAAGCTGAGGTGAGAAATCTGACAGTTACAAGGTGTTTCATTGTTTGGGCTTTGAAAATATTTATCTTACAATTAAATGGTATTCTGGAAATAATCAATGGGCCAGCTGCTTGTTGAGTGTGCATTAGGACCCCCGGGAGTTACAAGGCTTGAGAACTAGACTATTTGAGAAATTACATTCTTGAAATTTAAAGAGTAGTTCCTTAATACTTTTTGTTAAAACTACTTGGGACTGTTAATTTCACATTTAGGATTTTTTTTTCTTTTAAAACCCTGGGCAGTTAGAAATTTGGGAAGCACCTGCTTTTCAGATCTCCTGTTATGCAACAATTTGCTCCAGTGTTTATGGAAATCTTGTGGAAGCTTTTTAAAAGATGTCTCACTATCTTCTTATTGCAGATAAAAAATTTATCATTGCAAATGCCAGAGTGCAAAACTGTGCCATCATCTACTGCAACGATGGGTTCTGCGAGATGACTGGTTTCTCCAGGCCAGATGTCATGCAAAAGCCGTGCACCTGTGACTTTCTCCATGGGCCTGAGACCAAGAGACATGATATTGCCCAAATTGCCCAGGCATTGCTGGGGTCAGAGGAGAGGAAAGTGGAGGTCACCTACTATCACAAAAATGGTAAAGTTCATCTATTTAGAATTATTTTTACTTGATTGCAGTGAAATGAAATTTTGACAACTGATTATTGAAAGTTCATATGCAGAGAAGCTCCAAATATTCAGTTGTAGATATCTTTTGCTTCTAGCATTTTAGGATTCAGGAAATCTGGATGCTTTCACTAGTGGACTAGTAAGGACAATTTCTTCTTTGAGTAAGGGTACTCTGTACTCTTCAAAAGTGCAATGACTTACTATCACTAGGACAAAGTACCACAAATCAGTCTTACTCTCTCCCCTTTCTAGGGAATAATATAAAGGCCAAAATTTACTGATTGTGTTGATACATGTTTCCAAGGAGACACATACAGAATTTTATTTGCTTGAACCTGAAAATATTTCACAAAGCAACATCTTATAGAAAACTATGTATCTTCAAGTAAAACTACTGCAGTTATAAATGTTTCTTGGCTCTTCAGCTTTATTTGATAGTCAACACCCCTTGTTTCTTTTGCTCCTTTTCATGTAACATTAAGGTGATATGTAAGAACGTGAAGAATTGGTCCAGTAAACCTATGTATATTCAAATAATAAAGGCTGTTAAAGATTTGTCCTAAAATAAGAAATGGGCAAAGGGAGCTATGATACTGTGGAGTTGTCAGTAATCATTTTTATAGCTGCAACAAAACTGGCATCTCAAACTTAAGGTCATACCTCAACTTCAAGGGCACCCCTCCTTCTTTCAGGCTTGCTATGGGAGTATAATATAATAGACCTATAATAGTTCCCCCCAAATGTCCATTTAATAGACACGCATTCATTAAACATACCATATATAGCATATGAACTCACATGTATGAATATTCATATATACCCATTTAAAAGAATATACATTCTCAAATATACACGGTGATATTTGACAATTTAGTGCTTAAATGTAAATCACTTAAAATGCATGCTGTGGTTGGTTTTGTTGATATTGCATTACCATTTTTTTTTCCATTGGCAGAAATCATTGAGGCAGACGGGTATATAGTCAGATTTTTAGGTAACTCTTAAGTTTTACAAATGAGAAAATGATCTGTTATAACCTATATCATATAATGATTCATCATTTGATGAAATACACAGCAGAAATTCTAGCAGGGAAAAGGTTTAACCCTTCCTCTTATTTTCTTACAATTAAATATTTTATGATAGAAAATGTAGTTCTTAATTACTGGTTTTTCCTTAACATCAACTTATGTGAGTATATGTGACAAACTATGATTAGAAAAACAGGTTTGTATAACTTTGGATCAATCTGCAATGAAAACAATTATATGATTATCAACCAACATAGAGATTGCTTTTAAACTTCTCATCCCTCCCCCCCCTTTTCAATCAGTAGTGTTGGCATGCTAGAAATAGCCTAATTGCTCTGTTGTCTTGAAAGCATTTCTTGGGCTAAGGCTCTCACTATCCAAATGCAACCCATCTTTTTTGTGTGTGTAGCTGATGCCAACAATTTGGGCTTTTGGAGTAATTTAATTGTCTGACATTTTTCCCCATCTGAATATTTATCATGATATTGACACAATCTATATTGTGATTATACAGGGCATGCTGGTCCACATTTGATCATTATGTTTTCTGGGATATTTCAGTATTTTTTTTTAAACTTGAAGAATTTAAGTATAAAATGAATCTGGACTGTCAGGATCACTTAGATACTCACTATATTTTTCAGAAAGTATTTTGAAATGAAAGTTGTTATTTATTATATGGCACACGGAATGGTGATATTTCAAAACCTTGTGTAACTTGTATAATGTGAGCACATGAAGTTATCTCAGAATACCCAATAAAGGCAACTTAAGGTGGGATCACAAACATGAATGTAAAAGTTTCTACAGCGAAGATGCTCCTGGTACATTGACTAATGCAAATCTCCATCTGAGTGATGCACTTGGTTATATGAATTAAAACCTTCTCATTTTAAAAAAGGAATCTTTACTTAGAAGCTTGTTTAGCTATATAAATATTAACCTTTGGTGATGATTTTGATTCTGTTGGCTTCATTTTCAGATTTGAGTCAGTTTACAAAGACTTGATAATCTTTAGAGCTAATGCCAAATGCTGCCTATTTTACTTTTATTGATATGAGATATGTGAGATAATGGGCCAAGCTTTTTATTTTTCTTTTTCCAAAGAAAAAGATTAATTTTATTATATTTTTGGATTGTGAAGACACAGCCCAATTTGCTCTCAATGTAATCAACCTGTGTTTTTGAGACTAGTTCAGATAGCTTGAATAGAATCTTCAAAGTACATTGGTTTTATTCACATGGCAACTGCAAATTCAGTCAGAGCTTGTGAAGTTCAAATGCTTTGAAAGACTTGCCCTTAGAGACCTGCCTGGCACCCTACATTTATAAAATCAGGAAGGGATAAAATCACCAACATTTTGTATTGGTTTGTTTTTCAGTTTCCTTACTTCTTTATTATTGAGCTAATTTACTTTGGGGAGTTTCTTGGTTTCTTAAGTATATACAGTAAATGCTTCCTTTACTTATTCTCTATTTGGCACTTTACAGGAATATGGATAGGAATGTACTAAGCACAGTGAGCAAAGTAACAAAAAGTTGAGATATTCTGTTTCCACTTTTTCCAGTCACTCATACTAGAGCAGCTAAACCATAAGCTTGGTTTTACTTCTGAACGCTTGTTTTCCAAACTGGCCAGAGGTGTTCTACATTGAACCCATGATCTACGCCATGAGTTCACATGCATGTAGTGTGTGATCAGCTGCATGATCCCCCTCATGAAGCCACACTCCTTCCATGCTACTTTATGTGATTTTACCAGGTACCGTTGAACTTGCTGTTTACCAGAATATCAATTTTTAAAAACCTAGTTATTTGCAGTAGGCATATTTGACAGCCCTTCCTTTGAGGATTCTATTTTACAGTTTAAGTCATTATTGCATAAATCATTCTTGGCAGCTGTGAAATATTGCTTGAGGTGATAAAGCTGTAAATCTTTTGACATAAAGCTCTAATTATACAAAACTATAATTACGCAGAGGCTTATACAAGGATGGGCATGTATTTTAATAGGGTAATGCATTCACTTTTAAAACAACTTTTTAGGGGTGCCTGGCTGGCTCAGTCAGTAGAGCATGCAGCTCTTGGCTTGGGGTCTTGAGTTCAAGCCCCGCGTAGGAAGTAGAGCTTACTTAGGAAAAAACAAACAAACAAACAAACAAACAAACAGTTTTTAAACTTAGATTGAGGAATAACAAATGCTTCAGTTACTAACTAGATCATAGTTTGGAGGTGATGTTAATAGCAAGGAAACAGAAAAGTTGGTCCTCTTTTAATTTATCGCTCATCAGGTTTGGAGTGTGTAGGTTTTGTAGTTCTCCGCTACCTGTAGCTATCAGGTTTTGTAGTTCTCCACTACAAAGAGAACTAGCAGTTGACGTGCTTGTCCACTTCAGGCATATGCAGACATGTGATTTTTACCTTAAATTATCCAGCAAGTCTAAACATTTGGAAAATCAAAGTCTGTTTCTCCAAAGTAAATAAATAAATGCATGTCTTAACTCAGTCGGAAAACAGGGCATACAATGCTTCATTTTTAGAGGTTGGAGCATTCCTGTCTTTTTGCCGTTATGCTCTCAGACATGGTACAATGGCAGTTTCGTTAACAAGCCAGAAATGTGCCTATCTTTGCCTTGCCGTCAAAGAACTAAAGGATGAGAAGAGGCTGAGGGAAGTCTTTTCGTGATCCAGACAGGGCACCAGTCATGTTGGGACAAAGTTCCAGAGGCAGTGTTTGATTCACCTAGACTCAAAAGAGGTTTTGGTTTGATAACATTAAATCTACCATCTCTGAGGGTTATTTGGAAAGACCTTATAGAAAGTGTTTCATTGTTGGGAGGAAATGTGAAGATGTGTGCTGAGTGCCACCACCTCTCTTGAAGGTAGTGTTTTAGGCGCTAGAGGAACAATAGGAGGAGATGCAAAAGAGGACACAAGTTCATTTCTGCTTTCAAGATATTTGCATTATGGAGTGACTAACATTCCCTTCTATCTTTGAAACCCCAAGATGTTTTCGTGAAGTTGTTTTGAAAGAAAAAAGAGTGTATAGACCATGAAATGAAGAAGCTTTTATATAAATGGAGAACAGAATTTAGGGTTAATTACCACTCTTCCTCTATCCCCCCACTGTAAAATAAACTTGTTTTTGTGTATTTCCTGTCTCCTTTTGTCATTTATATGCAATACTAACTTATTAAAGAAACAATGTAGTTCAGTTAAAGCCTTAATAGGTCAAAAATAAATGTTATCACAGTCTTCTGTGTTGTATGACATGTAAAATATTCAGCTTTCATAATTCCCGAATTGTGTAGTAGAGATACAGACGGTAGCTTTTATAGAAGAATGGAAATATATTCTGTGTATGTGTAATTCAAGTGATAAGAAAAATTTTCAGGGAGTGTCTTGCCTAGAATTTATTTTGGTGTTCGTTTTAACTTTCTGTTTATACACTCTCATGTTTTACCCAACAGTAACCTTAAATGTATTTTCTTTCATATACCTAAAGTTTGTGACATCTCATGGACCCTGGATATTGTATAGAACTTAAATATGATCAGTGTATTGATTAAGAAATTAGGAATTCTCGAGAAACATTCCTCCTCACAATTTGAAAACTTGATTTCACTGTTGTCCCAAGTGAAAACAAAATGTCCCCAAATGGTAGTTGGGCTACATTCATCAGTCCCCTTTTTACCACCTACCAGCACTGTACCTCTATGCAGCTCTGGTCCTAAAACTTAGAAGCCGTGTTGTCCGCCAGCTTCAGAGATAACTGCTCAGTTATTTTCACACCCAAGGGACTTGAGAACAGGGTCAGTTCAGGGTGATAGGGACAGGCTAGCCTTAGTGGGAGGAACTGACTTCTCTGGCCTCTATTGGCTTTCAACATTGTTTTTATTTTTATTTTTTCACTATAAATAGTCACTAAATCAATTAT